GATCTCTTGACCTCGTGATCCACCCGCCTCGGCCTCCCAAAGTGCTGGGATTACAGGCTTGAGCCACCGCGCCCGGCCTAAGTTACTAATTCTTATATGTTGAAGTTGTTTTACTAAGCATGTAACAAATTTTAGAATTTTTTTTACCTTCCTGATATATGACCCGGTTGTCATTAGGAAATGCACTTTTCTTTCCTAGTCGTGTTTGTCTGATTTTAGTATAGCTACACCAGATTCATTTTGGTTGGTGTTTGCATAGTATATCTTTTTCCCTTCTTTGACTTCAATATTTTTATGTTTTCATATTTAAGTTATATATGTTATAAGCAGCATATGATGGAGTTTTTATAAAAATTACATTAGATAATCTCTAAGTAGTAACTATGACAGTCCATGGCACATGGTAAGTACTCAAAAACTGTTAGGTGTTCTAGCTTTTATTTTTAGCCCCTGTTTTGTTCAGGATACTGCATTAAGTGGAAATAACATTTTGTTTTATTATAGGAGAGACTATGTTTCTAAGTATATAGATTACATTTTCAACGACTCTGTAAAGGCGGTTTATGAAGAATTTCGGAGAGGATTTTACAAAATGTGTGAAGAGGACATTATCAAATTATTTCATCCTGAAGAACTGAAGGATGTTATTGTTGGAAATACAGATTATGATTGGAAAACATTTGAAAAGGTACATCATAAAGTCTAAGTTAATTAAATTTGGTTTTTCTTCCTATTTCCTCAGTAACTTTTCTTTTTGTATTTTCTTTAGAATGCACATTATAAACCAGAATATGACAGTTCACATCCCACCATAGTGATGTTTTGGGAGGCGTTCCACAAATTGACTCTGGAGGAAAAGAAAAAATTCCTTGGTAAGTATTATATCAAGGAATAGATCTGTAATTGTGGTTTTTTTAATGGAATAAAAATTTCCTTTATGATAGATACCATTTACAATAAACGATAGTGTCAGAGATATGCCTAGTCCAATTGAACATCCTCTGTGTCCCAATATCAAAAAACAAATGTTAATATATATAAGCAATGTTTTCTCCTGTGATTTCATCCCTTCTTAATGCTTTTAAAATTTTTGTTTCTTTATCCAAGCTAAAATATCGAGCCTTCTTTCTGTAGCACTGTCATCATTCACTTATTCACCCTTTGTGGGATTAACTAAGATAGTTTATTTGGCTAATTTTTACTGTTGCTATATTATTAATACTATGTTTGCTATTACTGTACACAGGCTATTTTACTTGTATCTTTAACTCTAGGCTTAATGACTTTCATTTTCTATTTCCTTACTTTTGAGAAACATTTATCTTCTATTTTTATTTTTGTAGATAACATGTTTGTTAGGAGATATTCAGACTTAACAGAAGCCCAGCCTACCTTTCTAGTTTTAACTCTTAGAGGAAATTTTTGTTTCAACCAAACAATCCTATTGTCTGAACACTCCTGAGCTCACCTTGCATCTTCCCACTTCCAGGCCTTTCTCTAAGGTTCTTTCTCCTGCCTTGAACCTCACCTACCTCCTTGTTGCCTTTCTAAACCTTTCCATACTTAAAGGTCTGGCATAATTCTGAACTCTTGGAAGTCCCCTCAGTCATCTCACCTGGCTTTCTCTCCCTGTTCTCAAGCACAGCATTGACTGGGCTGTGGTATACCTTACAGCTCTTCTCTTGCTATTATGTGTCTTTTTCTTCACAAGAATCTAATATTCCCAGTCAGACTTTAAGCTGCTTGAGGGCAGTGACTATGACGGACATTGTCCTAATATAATTTCCAATGCATGTCAAATGTAGGACACTGCACATGGGCTCACAATAGTTTTGTGAATAGATTTTTTTTTCTCTGTAAAGAGATTTTGGTCTCTATGTAAAACAGATTGCCTTATTTTATTCCTCTTTTTAGTATTTCTTACAGGAACTGACAGAATACAAATGAAAGATTTAAAGAATATGAAAATAACATTTTGCTGTCCTGAAAATTGGAATGAAAGAGACCCTTTGAGAGCACTGACATGTTTCAGTGTACTCTTCCTCCCTAAGTATTCTACAATGGAAAGGGTAGAAGAAGCGCTTCAAGTAGCCATCAACAACAACAGAGGATTTGGCTGACCAGCGAGCTTGTCCTTATTTTGTTGTTGTTGTTGTTGTTGTTGTTGTTATTGTTACTCTGCTTTGTTTTGTTTTAGGCTTTTAACAGCCTGAAGCCATGGTTTTTTGTTTCTGTCTCTAGTGATATATGGGAAGGAGAGATGAAAAAGAGGCTTTACTTGCCTAACCAGAAACAGAAACTAAGAACTCATGACTATATTCTCTTCCTTGGACACCCCTGTGCCTACATCATGTTCCTTACCTCTTTTGGGAAATATTTTTCAAAAATAAAATAATTCAAAAATTAACATAAAAGTGTTATTCACTACTCGGTGTGTTTACCAGCTCTTTTGGAATTACTATCATTGCATGTAAGCCATATCAATTATAATATAGATTAAGCTGTGTCTCTCATACAGATGTTTACATGACTTGGCCTGAAGAGACCCTTTAGCTTAGAAGTATTTTTTTGAAGTTGTAATTATCTACCTAATATCTATTCTCCCCTTCTTTTGGTACAGATTCCCTATATGCTAGTGGTATTGTGCTCAGTCTTTTAAAATCATACATTTCCGAGCCTCTCTTCAGGGGACAGGTGGCAATGGTGAAAGTCACTGGGAGAAGCTTCTGAGGAAGCTTTTTTATTTAAATGGCTGTTATGCTTTTAATGGAGTTAGGTACAAAATCCATCCATGCAAAAGAATGTTTTATATGCTCATTAACATAGTGATTTATGTAAATTACATTTTGATAACCTAAAATATAGTGTCTTAGGCCCCAGAAAGAAACTACAAAGTTAGCTTCAACTGAAGATACTGGAAAGGCTCTTAAGTTGTTTTTACCCATCACCTTATTATTGTAATAGTTCTAAATGATAGCTGGGTGGAGGCTAAAGAATAATACAAAGCTCTTTTCAGCTGTGATTCAAAGAACTTTAGTGAAGCTATATGACAATGACATTGTGGGACCATGACATTTTCCCAAAAGTATTTCCAATAACATAGGCAGTTTAAAAGCTTCATAGTTTCAAAGTCTGGAAAGTGGTAAAGATATCTTAGAGAATTTTAAAACATAAACCCTATTTCTCTCCTGCAGACTTTGTTAAGCATGGACATGAGTTTGAGGATACTGAGAAAACATCATCAGTAGTTTTCATAAAGCTTCAATGAACACCCCAAGGTACCAGTGTTGAAAGCAGCCTGATAACTAAAATGTCACTGCATTGTACTTTTGGAGGTACAGGTATGCTGTGCTTGCAGTAAGAGGACCACTTTATCCCTAGTTAAAAACACCAGGGATCAAGCTCAGCTTCCTTTTACAGAGGATGCACCAATAATCCCTAGGATAGTGAGTGGTTCAAGTACCATACTATATTTCCAACATGTCTTGCCTATTTGCTCTTAGTCGGCACTGGGGCACTTTTAAACCCTACATAGATCTATAGAATATTTTGCGAGAGTCTATTAAAACTACCTTGAAGATGGTCTTAATACAGAGCCCTTCTAAAAGAGCTCACTGGATACTCTAATAACATTTAGAGCAGGGGTGTCCAATCTTTTTGCTTCCCTGGGCCACATGGGAAGAAGAACTGTCTTGGGCCACACATAAAATACACTAATAATAGCTAATAAGCTAAAAAAAAAAAATCGCAAAAAAAAATCTCATGATGTTTTAAGAAAATTTACAAATTTCTGTTGGGCCGAATTCAAAGCCGTCCTAGGGCCTGTGGGCTGTGGGTAGGACAAGCCTGATTTAGAAAAAGGAATAAAGACAAAATTTGTAGTAGCTCAGTTTCTTTCAAGTGAAGAAAGATACTGTAACATTAACATGTAGGCTAAAATGTTTGGTGATTAATGTCAAAAATCACCAAGATTATTTGTACATGTTTTGGTAATCACTACTGGCAAGATTTTTTTATGCGTAAAATATATTATGTATTAATAGAAAAATTGTTTGAGCCCCTAATAGAAGAAAACCCACAGCAAAAGAAGCAGCTAAAGGGCAATTAAAAGTTAGGGAAGTTTACTAGCTTTAGAATACAATACACTTCAATTACAGAAATACTTCCTTTTTAAAACTACAGTGCTTTAATGTACTTTTAGTAATAACCCAATTTAAGGAGCCTGAGAGGCTTGTGAAAAGCTCCACCAAGGTGCTACATTTCTAGTGTGGGAGTGAATTAATACTTCTGTAAAAAGGAAGGAACGGAATCACCTCAGCATCAAATCCCATTTTTCTTTTAAATAGTAACTCATAATAATCTGATGACTTATTTTGTTTCACTAGTTCAAAATTAGGCAGGAAAGGGACTAAGCTAATTGATCAGACCTAGAAACGCAATGATTTGGCAAGCCACAGTCACTCAGCTCATGGATATGATAATCTGCAGAACAGTTGCTGAATTCTTGTCTGTTCCTTCACATCTATAGAGGAGTTTGATAGAACTACTTCTCTTTATCAACTTTAAGCTTCATACAGGCAAAGAGATCACAAACTGCAGGGTAGGTATCATGGTCTTGAAGGAAGTTGTGTTCCTCCCGTAGGGGTGGATTACGTAATACTTCCTGGGCCCTTCTTCTGAAGTAACCACTTGTCTTCTCCAGAGGATCACTGGCTGAGGGTACCCATCTTTCCTGGAAGGACCTAGTCACCTGTATTAAAGGGACACCAGTAAGGGACTGTGGGGCTTTTAAGCTTTTGTTGGCCAGTCCTGTCCTCAGAACTAGGCACTTCCTTGGGACTTCCTTCCTTATATGGGGGTCCGATGAGCCATTCTGACAAGGGACTGTTGTTTATGACTTGGAATTAGCAATTCTAGAAGGAGCCATTGCCTTTGGTGCCTTAGCTTGTTCTTTTCTGGAAGGACAGGGCCACATATTCAGGGAACCTTGATGCTTCTCAGGCTGAGATTTGGGTTCCACAGGCATCCCATTTTTTTGTCCATCTTTCTTTAGAAGCCACTTACACAGAGCTTCCTTCTCAATTATCATACAGACACACTGCAAAGCTTATGCAGGGCTCATTGGCTCTGCATGTGTCTTCTATTTTACATGGATCCTGATGGTTCTGGGCAAGTCAATCCTCAGAAACAATGCTGAGGGTAGATAGTTTTTTGGCCTCCAAGTAGTCATTGAGGCACTTCACATTGCCCAAGTTTTTCAATCTCCATGCCATTGGGCTGTTTGCCCCGACAGCTGGTATAGGAGTTGGTTTTGACAAGCCAATCATTCACATTGTAGGACGGGAACAAGAACTTACTACATTTCTCACTGGTTTCACAACTACCATTCTCATGCTTCTCCAGCTTATAGGATTCCTGGGGAGTCACCAGTCAGCCAGATAGATCCATCTCATCTTGATCAGAAAGCTCTAAATCTTCCAACTTTTCAATTCAATGGAGAAAGAACTGGTGGTAAAATGGCGTCACTTTGAATAACTTGGTTTTTCAGAAACTTCTTGTTGCTGACTCCTCAGGAGCAAGTTTTCTAAACCCACTAGGTTGCCCCAGACATTACTGAAGAAATTTCAGGCTCTGGAAGAAGTCTGACTATTCTCCAAGGTCTGCTTTTGGGTGAGTTAGTCCTGGGGGGTTGTTTCTGGGTATTTTCCTGAAGACCACTGGTATGGTTGCTTCCAAGGAGCCATTGGCTGAGAGGGACATCTGTGATGCTAGATGCTGACTTCTGCTCTGGCATTAGGATATAGCCTCTCTTCTCCATGAAGGGCCTGATATTTGATGAACTAGGATGAGGCATGAAGTGCTTAGGAATTTGAATGGTTTTGAGAAACCCCAATGTGGTGATAGTCATGTAGAGTAGTGTGTCTGCTTTGAAGAGTAGACAGTTGAATCTTCCAACATAAGGTCAAACTGTCCAGTCCCTCCAGGCACAAAGAATTGATTGGCTAGATCTTTGTTTTGGGTGCACTTCAGTTAATGAATAAGACCAATGAACTGGCCTAATAACCAATAGAGCAGCTGGGCCTGAAGTGTCTCCTCTTTAAGCTGATAGATGAGGTCTACCTGTTCATACAGCCACCTCAGTTTCTAAGGCATTCCAGGTGACAGCTTATACAACTGTGAATCTCACCTTTGACTTTTACAAGTTATGTTTAATTTGCTGTTCAGCCCAGAAAACTCCACCAATAGCAAGCTCCAAGTCCCTCCATGCATCACTACACCTCAAAAGGGGTTCTCTTATTACTGGAGCAGCTATTCTGGTCATGTGAGGTGTTTATTCTGCTCACTGCCCCAGCTCCCAATCCCTCTCCACAGAGAGACAGCCCCACACAAAACTCCTGAGGAGGCTTTTTAAAGGGAATCTTTTCAACTGGAACCTTTTTGCTTCCTCCTTTATTCTTCACATAGGACAATTATTACCTACTGTTGCTCTGACTCCATGTAAGGAGTCTTGCACAAATCCAAACAATTAAAAAGTCAGGCAATAAAGTCTGATTTTACTGACACTGACTATTATTACACCTCCCACATCCTTCTTGATGTGCCCTGTGTACAGCTCCAGCCTCATCTCCCACTGTTTTGGGTGATTTTGTTATTGTGCAAACATCAGAGTATACTTACACACCGTGTTTGTAAGTATACTCTGTGTTGTTTGCACAATGCTACAAACCTGTACAGCATGTTACTATACTGAACACTGTGGGCAGTTGTAACACAATGGTCAACATTTGTGTATCTAAAAATAGAAAAGGTACAGTAAAAACATGATATAAAAGATAAAAAATGGTACCATGAATGGAGCTTGCCGTACTGGAAGTTGCTCTGAGTGAATCAGTGAGGTAAGTGGTAAGTGAATGTGAAAACTTACGGTATTATGCCATTATAGACTTTATAAACACTGTACACTTAGGCTACATTATTTTAAAAATAAAGCAATTGCTTTACAACATTGCGACAGCTATGATGCTACTAGATGATGAGAATTTTCAGCTCCTAATATTATTATCTTATGGGACTACCATTGTATATGTGGTCTGTTGTTAACAGAAACATTAAGCAGTCCATGATTCTATTTCAGTTCCCTGAATGGGCCAGTCTCTTTTCTGTTTTCACATATGCTTTTTCTTTTGCCTGGAACCTTCTGCACATTGCACCACTATCTCTCCCTCTTCCTTACTTCCTCTCTTCAATTCTGCCTCCTCCTCTGTCTTGGTTATTCCTATTCATTTTTCAGGATTCACTTCAGCTGTCATTGCATTTATTCTGGTGGAAGCTACCTATTCTCTTTCTGCTTCCCGAGGGCTCAATTGCCAGTGGTCCCGTGAGTTAACCAAAAGTGCCATCTAGTGG